CCTGGGTCCCGCGCTCGGCGGCCAGGCTTCCCACCCCCGGAGGCCGCCATTTCCTCTCTCGGTGGGCTTCTAAGTTCAGGCTCTCAGAGTCCCCACCAAATGGCTGGAAACGAACACTCTCAAAAGTGTTCCAAAAAGAGGCAGGTCCTGCCCGAGACACCAGTGACATGAGCCCATTGTTGCTCCAGAGTTCAGTGATGACAGCGAGCTCCGCACGCGAGTCCCCAGCAGTCACGGCCCTCCAAACGCGGGGCTGGGGAGGGGCTCACCCCCGGCGAGGGAAGACAGGGCTGGGGGCTCACCCCCGGCGAGGGAAGGCGAGGCTGGGGGCTCACCCCTGGCGAGGGAGGACGGGGCTGGGGAGGGGCTCACCCCTGGCGAGGGAGGACGGGGCTGGGGGCTCACCCCCGGCGAGGGAAGGCGAGGCTGGGGGCTCACCCCTGGCGAGGGAGGACGGGGCTGGGGAGGGGCTCACCCCTGGCGAGGGAGGACGGGGCTGGGGAGGGGCTCACCCCTGGCAAGGGAGGACGGGGCTGGGGAGGGGCTCACCCCTGGCGAGGGAGGACGGGGCTGGGGGCTCACCCCTGGCAAGGGAGGACGGGGCTGGGGAGGGGCTCACCCCTGGCGAGGGAGGACGGGGGGGGCTCACCCCTGGCGAGGGAGGACGGGGCTGGGGAGGGGCTCACTCCCGGCGAGGGAAGGTACCCATCACCATCCTAAGCCTCCTGCGTCGGCCTGACCTCCAGCTCTGTTACCCTGCCTGAGGCAGCATCATCCCTGGGACTGTTTCCTGCTCTCCCACAAACAGCCTGCAGATCCCAAAGCCACAAGATGTGGAGACGCGTGGTCCCCTGGCTGAGGCCTTGCAGGCAACACGGCCCACTCTCTGGGTAGGGGTGGGCCCAGCCCCATTGTTCCTTCCCTGCAGAGGCAGTAGCCACAGCTCAGGCCCTGAGGTGGGACTGCGGCAGGAGCAGGTGGCCACCCACGGGCGCCCCACATCTTGTGTCCACCAGGATCCCCTCAGAGGGAGGAAGCCCACATCCACTACTAAGAGGGCCGAAGGCTCCTGGAAGGAGGCAAGGTTTCGGCCACGGCCCCAGCATTTCGGAGGAGGTCTGAGTGGCCTCCCCAGTGAATGGGGCCAGGTTCCCCAGTTAATGGAACCCCAAACTGACCTTTCCGGGAGGTAGGCAGAATCGCAGAGCAGTGGGAAGGACTGGAGGGTCCCGTGCACCCGAGACCCTGTGAGCTGGGGCCTCGGATGCCAAATAAATGACAAAGCCCTCGAGAGTCGCCTCAAAAGTGGGGTTCTCCGTGCTGTCAGGGCAACGTCCAGCAGCTGTTTCTTTGGAAGGTCAGTGTTGAAGGCGTTAGGATTTGTATCAGGAAGAACTGCACCCCCGTGCCAGCCCCATCTCCACCAAGGTCAGCTGGGCTGCGTTCAGACTGCCTGGCCCTCCGCAAAACCCTCTGCAAACTCGGCCATTTCTTCTGAGAACATCTTTCCTCCCACAGTGAGGCAGGAGCCACGTGCCTGCTTCCGTGTGGACTGTGAGCTGTGTGTTCTCACAGTTTTAAACCATCAGAAAAAGTCGAAAGAAGAATAACCCTTCGTGGCACGTCTGTGGGTGATGCTTCGTGGCACGTCTGTGGGTGATGCTTCGTGGCACACCCTTCGCTGGTGTGCTGCCCGCAGTGCTGAAGCCGGGAGGAGGCTGCCCTGATGAAGGACGCAGCTGGAGGGGCTGCAGTGGCCGGCCCTGGGCATCCGCTTGGCAAGGCTGCTGTCCGCAGTTTTCCATCGAGCGCTCGTGGAGTTGCTGCTGAGAAAGGGGTGGTGTAGACGCGGTGACCATGACCAGCACTTGGCCGTCTGCGCTATAGGCCAAGGAGGCCTGCGTGGGCCCACCTGGCTGCAGCGGGGAGCTGAGCCTCCCTGAGGAGGAAGGAATCACGCCTGAGGCAGCAACAGCAGCTCCTGTGTGCGTCCCTCATGGAGTGAGCCGACTCCTCGATTCCTCTATTCCTCGCAGTACAGCTCTTCACCTATGTAACTATGCATCATGGAAACAGGAACGTATCCTCCGGCTCTGCAACTCTGGTGGAATCCAGGCGATACCTGGTGAGACACCTTAATAAACACGTAAATAGACTCTGCCGTGGTGAGCACCTACACCCACGGGGCAAGCATGGGGTGTTTCCCTGGCTAGGAATTCCATCTTTTTCACCACCAGACTCGTCATGGACTTACATTTTGAAATAGCATTGTTTGGGTTTGTTAGGGTTTTAAATTTCATTCTTCTTTGCCTTATTTCCATTTCCTGGTCTTTTCTATCTTTTTTTTTTGTTTTCCTCTATTGGGGAGGTAAGAGTCAGGAAAGCAGGCGGCACCTCACCCGTGTGCCTGCAACATGGACAAGACACTTCCCTCTGGCCGGGACTGGAAAGGTGGGCCCTGTGGCCAGCCAGTGCCACGGCCAACCCTGCAGTCCGGAAAGTAGAGGCTTTGCTGATGAACAGCCAGCAGAGAGAGGGCCGAGGGCCGGGGGCTGGGAGGGGGGGCCGTGACATCTGGGGACAGGGCAAGTGCTGACGTCCCCTGGCTGCAGGGCAGATGGCCGCCGGCTCACTTTCTGAATGCCGCCCAGAGGCCTGCATGATCCTCCAGGGTGGCACGAGACTGTCTGTGCCTCAGTTTCCCCATCCACAGGCGTGCCACCAGGGCCACCATGTGGGACTGTTCAGGAGACAGCGCCGGTCCCCAGCACCACCCCAGAGATGAGGCCTGAAGCAGGTGCCTTCCAAGGGCAGCTCCAGGAAGGGACTGGCAGAGCAGCGGGGGAGGGGCCCAGGGGGGCAGCTGTGAGTGGGCAGGAGACGCCCGGCACCCCCACCCCTCACAAGACTGGGCCCCACAGACTCTCCCCTAGGGCAGCTCTGGGACATGTGGCAGTGCCAGCTCCCCCGGGATCCCTCTCCTTCACCCGGGTTAGCACTGGGTGTGGAATAGGGGGCAGCCCTCCCGGGTCCCAACCACCACATGCGAGGGCAGGGGGACATTCACAAGCCAGTGGACCTGTCTGCCTCAAGTGCCGGACCCCAGGGCCCCCACAGCACCTGGTAACCTTCTGTGTGTCCTACCCAGATACCAGCGGCCTTCAGGGCTTTACCTTGGACAATCTTTCCCTTTGGAGCCTGTGGGGGCCCAGCCCAGGGCCCAAAACCAGCTGGGACTGAGAGGGGTAGTGGGAGCTTCTCTAGGGCCTCCCAGAGCCTGGCTGGCTCCACCACCTCCCTCTGCCCCTACAGCACCTTCAAGAAGTTCCCCCGCAAAGCCCCCATGGGACTCAGGGCAGGGCTCGAGTCTGTGTGCAAGGAAAGAAACAAGCCAGGGCCCCCACACCAGCCGGGGCCTCCTCTGGGCCCCAACCGTGATGTGCCAGGAGCCCCCCGGGAAGACAGGTTGACCTGTGCTCAACTTGGTACCCCTCACCTGGAGCAGTCTCTGTGGTGGGAGCTGCTGGGTGCAGGAGTAAGATGTCAGGGCAGAGCCCATGGAGACCCCTCGCCTGGGGGCGCTGGGGGCAGAATCCTCCCCTTGCAGCCGGCCCCTTCCCAGCCCTCTTGTCCAGGACCATCACCCAGGGGATACCAGGGCGCTCTGAGGCTCCAAGGGGAACAGTGTCCAGGGAGTCAGGGCGGCCAGGGTCTGGGGTGCCTGGAGTGTCTCCAGCTGGGAACTGGACCATTGCCTGCCTGGACCCTGTGTCCCTCAGCTAGAGTTCAGGGCCCATCATACTGTCACCACAGAGGGGCTCTGGGGACACCAGCTAGATGGGGCAGTGGGGCCCTAAGGGAAGCGGAATGCTATCACCCCTGCATCTAATTCTACCTCTGTGAGTCTTCATGACAACCCCCCACTAGTACATCCTTCAGGCCCCTCAAAATCCATGGCAGCAGGGCCTGGGGATCCCCTGAACAGGTGCCAGTGTCAGAGAACCTGGGGCAGAAGCAGCCATGCAAGGGTGGAGGCCAAGGACGGAACAGGTGGAGGGGGAGTGGGGTCACCCAGGGCCAAGGAGGGAATGAGTGGAGGGGGAGTGGGGTCACCCAGGGCCAAGGACGAAACAGGTGGAGGGGGTGTGGGGTCACCCAGGGCCAAGGATGGAACAGGTGGAAGAGGAGTGGGACACCGAGGGCAGTTCCTGAGACTCTTGCTGAGGCTGCCACCAGGCCAGCATGTACCCCAGAAAACTGATCTTGTGACGAAAACTGGAGTGGACTTGGACCCACCTTGTGGGGTAGGAGGCCCCTGGGGGCAGGATAGGGGCCTGTGGGCTGTGCACAGAACCCACACCTTGCTGCGGGTGGGAGGCTGGGCTGTTCGGCCCCTGGCACCCCAGCCTCCACACTCACCTTGGCTCTGGGTGCCCGGCTCTGTGGCCTAGGATGCAGGAGGGTTGGGGTGGAGGGACAGGGACGCTTTCAGCACAGCCACAGGCCCTGCCTGTCTACACCAGCTGCGTCTGCCCTGCTGACTCACACTCAGACGGGTTCACGACAGGTGCACCTGGGTTCTGGCATATCTGGACTCGAGAATGTTAATAAAGGATGGAAAATTCCGTCCAGATCCATTTTCTTGTGTATATTTCTGTTCTTGCAGCTTCTCCACGGATGGAGATCTCCTTTGGGAATAACACAGGGTCGTGCAGTCCGCCCCCCGGCGTTTTCAGGCGAGGGTCTGGTGCTGGGGCGCGAGCGCGGAGCCGGGTGTCTCTTTAAATGCGCTCTGCAGTGTGACGGCGGCCGCCCGGCTGGAAGAGCCATCCCCACCCTGCGGCAGGAGCCCGCCCGCCGCCATCGCCCGCCCCGGTCCCCATGGTTACGCGCCTGCCTCCGGCCCTGGGTCCCCCCTGTCGCCGAGGGAGCTACTCGCAGAGGCGGCGGCGCTGCTGGCCGGGCTGGGGCCGCCCGTGCGCGGGGCTGTGACTCACCGGCCGGCGCCGCAGCCCCGCAATCTGTTGATAACTCGCTCCCAGCTCGGCCGCTGCCCTCGCGAATGGAGAGCGGGTCCCCGGCGAGGGGAGCGCAGCGCGTCCGTCTCCAGGAGCGCGGCCCGGCCGCCCCGGCAGCCGCTTAGGCCACAGCAGGTGGGAAGGACGAGAGGGTCTGGGCGCGGGTCTGGGCGGCGGGAGGGACGCGCGGGGCCGTGGCTCGGCAGAAACGCTCCCGCCCCGGGGTGACGCCGGCCGCGGGGAAAGAGGCTCCGAGTAACTTTCGGCTCCGCTGGGGCGGGAGGAGCAGCGGATAATCCAGGGCCCCCGCCCCGCGCGCCCGGCCGCAGCTCGAGCCACATCCAGGCAGAGCAGGCGCCGCGGCCGGGCTGGGGCGGGCGGGTCACTCGGTGCCCGTTCCGGGTGCAAACGCCTCGCGCGCCTCTGGCTTTGTGCAGCCCGAGATCGTTGAGTTTGGCTCCGGAGCCGGGAGTGGGGCGCAGATTGATTTTTAAACATGGAGAAGGAGACGCATCTGCCGCTGGCACGTTCGGTCCGAGCCCCCCGCCTCCCCCCGGTCCCCACCGGCACCGCCTCCACCAGCCCCAGGCGCAGCCCCCACGCCGCCCGCGGAGGGGAGGGAGCGACAGGCGCCGCGGCTGCTCGCCGGCGGGGTCGGGGCTGCGAGCTGCCCTTCGCGGGGACCCTCCTCCCGCCCCGCTGACCGCCGCTGTCTTCGCAGATGGGAGCAGCTCCGGGACTGCGCCCGCCCCGCCACGGTCACCCTGAGGCCCGGGGCCCGGGAGCGCGACCTCCTGGCCGCCGTCTGGGACTTTGACCTTCCGGAGGCCATGGAGGCTGGCGGGGAGCAGGGCGCGACCTGATCGCCTCCCCCTGGACGCCTCCTCCCGCGGCGCTCACGCTTCGGTAACTTTGCAGCGCTCATGGTGAGTACGGGGGTCGCGGGGGTCCTGCAGCTGGGGCTGGGCCGCTGGGGGGGCCGCCACCCGTTCAGGGACTCCCAGGCTGGAAAAGTTGTGGAGTGGTGAGCTGGTGACCGGGCTTCCGACCGGGCTCAGTGCCGGGGTGGGAGGCTCTATGGGGTGGGGGCCGGGGACAGGCCCATGTCTTGGCGCCTCTGCTCCCAGTGGCTGGGTGCTGGTCATACTAATGAGTTGCAGGCATACAGCAATGTCGAATCATTTAATCAATGGAGGTGACGTCCCTCCCACAGAGCCGGCATCCGTGTGCTGTGAAAACCCGGTCTGTGCCTGGGCTGAGGTCCCTGCCACCCCAGGCCCCTCCAGCCGGGTCACCAGGCCTCCCCCACGCCACCATGCCAGCCCCTTCCCATCAGAAAGTTGATGAAAGGCAGTGGGGACAGCCGTAGGTGGGCTTCAGTGGAGGCTGTGGCGGAGAGAAGGCGGCCGCACACATGACAGGCACGGGAAGGGTGTTTCACCAGGAAGGGGCTCGTGGCTGGCAGCTGGCTGGAGCGGCAAGCGGGACCCATCCTGAGTCCCTCCCTGAGGCTCCAGCAAGCTTTTGCTGCAGTTGCTGAAGGTCTGGGCTCCGGAAGGGCTGACAGCTGAGTGCACAATGCATTGTGTGTGCTGGTAAGGGGCAGCTGACAGGCGGTGGGGACCCAGGGCACGTGCAGAGAATGCCGATGGCCCCAGAATGTGCGGCTGCCACAGACGCCGGCTGGCGTGCCTGGGAGCAGACCCAGTGTTCGCTGTGTAAGGAGCCATCCGTCTGAGTCACTTGTTCATTTTCTTCTTGTTCCATTCAAAATGTCCAAGCAAGAGTGATGCCTTTGCCAACATTCAGTATCATATTCCAGCGGCAGCTTCACCCTGAGGCTGGCTGAGGCCTCCGCACTTACCTTTCAGACACCTGACAAGGTTGCGTGTCCAGCACCGGCAGCACCTCAGGGGGCAGCAGGCCGGCCCCAGGGCTCCTGCCCACCCCCGGGCTCCCACCAGCCTCAGGAACCATTGCTGTTGTCCCACAGGTGCCACACCCAGCCCAGCCCCAGGCCTCCCAGTTGGCAGGATCTGTGGCTTTTCAGCCTCAAATTCAGGCCCTTATTTGCAAAATGGAAAGCTGTCATTGACAGAGGACAGTGAATGGAGAAGGGCTTCTGAAGGTGGGGGAGAGTGTGGCATTTCAGCCACTCACTGGGTTTTTATTCACAACAAGTAACATTTGCACCTGAGAGAATCTCTGAAAGGGACAGAAAGTGTGTGGTGTTGCCCTCCTGTGCTACATCAATCTGGTACAGCACTTTTCTGCATGTGTCTCCAAGTTCACAGTGTAGATACCGGGGCAGGCTCACCCCATGGCCGTGGGGTCTTGGGAAGGAAGCCTGGAGGCCGTGGCCAGGGCAGGGTGGCCCTGACTCTGCCTGTCCCATTGCTGCGCTCTGGGGGACTCCTGACCCCTGCCAGGGGCAAGTTGACTGCTGAGCTCCCAAGTGTAAGGGCATAGGGCACAGGTCACGGGTCAGATTCTTTGGTGGCACCGCTCCTGGTCGTGCACAAAGGCATGAGCCAGCCCTGGATTCTGAGCTGCTGTCCAGCAGGTTGGCTGGGCCAGGCCGTCCTCCCAAAAGGCTGGTTTGTCGGCCCATGGTGCTCTACAGGATGGACAGTTTGCTCCCCTCTGGAGGACCTGCAGGCCACATGTCCAGTGGTTAAAGCTGGGGCACCTCCTTCTGCAAGCTGTGTCTCCATCACCACTGTTAACAAGCAAAAGCAAACATGAACTTGCCTCTGTCTCCGCAAGGGGTGCCGTCAGGACTTAAGTTCCAGCAGGCTGTGAAATGGAATAGGTGTCCCTTTGCACCCTGTAACCTGCAGTCCTGACACTTAACCCGGAGAACAGTTGTTCTCGCGGAAAGCCAACCGTCAGTCTTCGGAATTAGATACAGCTGCAGAGCTTTTGCCTTCCCTGGGACCATTTCCCTCAGAGGATGTGAGTCTGGTGGCTTTACACTCAGCACAGACTCTCGCTCTCCTGGTAACACTGTTTGTGGCCAGAAATTAAACAGAATAATAAGATTGGCATGACTGATGTGGTGTGGTGTGTGGTGTGGCTGGTGTAGTGTGGTTGTAGGGTTGGGTGGTGTGGCTGGTGTAGGGTGGTTTTTGTGGGATGGGGTGGTGTGGGCTGGTGTAGTGTGGTTGTAGGGTTGGGTGGTGGGGCTGGTATAGGGTGATTTTTGTGGGATGGGGTGGTGTGGGCTGGTGTAGTATGGTTGCTGTAGGGGGGCAGTGTGGCTGGTATAGTGTGGTTGCTGTGGGATGGGGTGATACGGGCTGGTGTAGGGTGGTTTTTGTGGGATGGGGTGGTGTGGGTTGGTGCAGTGTGGTTGCTGTGGGAGGGGCAGTGTGGCTGGTGTAGTGTGGTTGCTGTGGTTTGTGGTGGTGTGGGCTGGTGTAGGGTGGTTGCTGTGGGATGGGATGGTGTGGGCTGGTGTAGTGTGGTTGTTGTGGTTTGTGGTGGTGTGGGCTGGTGTAGGGTGGTTGCTGTGGGATGGGGTGGTGTGGGCTGGTGTAGTGTGGTTGTAGGGTTGGGTGGTGTGGCTGGTATAGTGTGGTTTTTGTGGGATGGGGTGGTGTGGGCTGGTGTAGGGTGGTTGCTGTGGGATGGGGTGATATGGGCTGGTGCAGTGTGGTTGTAGGGTTGGGTGGTGTGGCTGGTGTAGTGTGGTTGCTGTGGGATGGGGTAGTGTGGGCTGGTGTAGGGTGGTTGTGGGGTTGGCTGGTGTGACTGGTATAGTGTGGTTTTTGTGGGATGGGGTGGTGCAGGCTGGTGTGTGGTTACTGTGGGATAGGGTGTGGTATGAAGATGTCGTCTGGCCCTTTGTGGCTACTTTCATTCCACAATTGCAATATTTAGGTGCAGCTGGTGGCATGAGCTCACCCTCCCTCAGTGCTCAGCCCCATGCTGGTGGCACCACTGCTGGTCAGCATCTGTGTCCTGTGTGGTCACCTGAGAGCCGCCGGCTTTCTGTGATTAGGGTGGAGGCTCTCAAAGGAGACTGGACAGAGCCCCTTCCAGCTCTCAATTCAGGGTTGACTCTTGGTCATCAAAGGCACTGTTTGCTGCATCCTGCGGGTTCCCAGTGCCTGAATTGAGTGAAAGGCCAAGGCTGACCTGCTCCAGCTTGGGCTGGGGGACCCGAGAGACCTGGTGTGTGGGGAGCCCCTTGAGTCTAGCACTTCATTTCCCACCTTCTGAAAGGACAGGTGCCTTCGAAACCGCCAAGGAGACGAGGCAGGTAGCTGAAGGGTGAAGACCTCCCACTGGAGGGTGACAGGCTCAAGGTCAAGGCCAGGCTCCTGGCGGTGCCCCCAGGAAGGTGAGTCTCAGCAGCCGAGACTGAGGAGGAGCCTGCAGCTGCTCCCCGAGTCCAGGCCCGTGCAAAGTCCACCCTGAAGGGAACCAGGATCAGGTGCTGGCCCACAGGCGGGTTGTGGGAGTGTCGGAGCTCTGAGCTATTAGGAAGTACGTGAGCCCGCCTGTGGTGGGTTTATCTCTGCTGCAGTTTCACCCCACAGCCTCTGCCAGGAATGGCCGTTCAGGAGATGGGAGGGGCCTGTCACAGAGCATAACGATGGTCGGTCACATTTACGAACATTTCAGAGCCGTACCGAGTTCTTTTCAGCTGGCTGCTTTTTAGTCTAATATCTAAATTACTAAAAATGGTTACAGTTGGCCGGGCGCAGTGGCTCAAGCCTGTAATCCCAGCACTTTGGGAGGCCGAGACGGGCGGATCACGAGGTCAGGAGATCGAGACCATCCTGGCTAACACGGTGAAACCCCGTCTCTACTAAAAAAATTACAAAAAACTAGCCGGGCGAGGTGGCGGGCACCTGTAGTCCCAGCTACTCGGGAGGCTGAGGCAGGAGAATGGCGTAAACCCAGGAGGCGGAGCTTGAAGTGAGCTGAGATCCGGCCACTGCACTCCAGCCTGGGCGACAGAGCGAGACTCCGTCTCAAAAAAAAAAAAAAAAATGGCTACAGTCTACTTCCTTCATCTCATGGATGGAAAGCTTCTCATCCCACCTCACATCTTCCCGAAAATTAAGAACTTTAAACAAGTAACTACCAGTCTAGAAAGAAGGCGTCTATGATATTTTAACACATTTTTTTCCAAATCTCTTCAAAACTTCACTAGCCCATCTACCCCTCCAAGAAGAAAATCATAACACACCTTACAAACGTAATGCCGACTACAGGTCATCTGTGTTCTCCTCTACCTTCTGCCTTTCCCCTGGAACACATCCGAGAAAAGTCGACAGATCCGCAGAGGCAGTTATTATTTTAAAGGCAGACGAGGGAATACATCAGGCTCTCAGGAAATCAGTCTTTGTTGGCACAGAACCAGGAAGTAAAACAGAGACAACCCGAAAAAACAAGAAAGAGAACCAGGAAGAACCAGGAAGAAGCACCTGAATGAAGAAGGAGAAACAGGGAGGGAGGGAGGGAGGGAGGAAGGAAGGAAGAGCTTGAACCTGGAAGAAGGAGAAGGAGGAGGACTCGAAGCACCTAGGAGGATATGTGTTCCTTCCTCAGCCAGTCGGAGCTGCGGACCCGGCCCGGACGCCTCACCATGCAGGGAAGAAGGTTCCTCAGTCAGTCGAAGCTGCGGACCCGGCCCCGGACGCCTCACCCGCGGGAAGGAAGATTCCTTCAGGCCACTGGTGTTCCCCAGGTTTGAAGAGGTCACTTTCCCACCTCTCACTGCTGCAGAAAGGTTGTTTTTATCAGAAAATTCACACGTAACTTGACTGACTGCTTTCTTCTCATCTTTCCTCCTTTATTTTTGTCTTTAACACCCTGACCCACTTGATTTGCAGAACGCACCAAGGAGGAGACCTCCAGTGAAAATGAGGAAACAGAGGAGGAAGTTATGACTCAAGAAAGAGGAGACACAAATAAGCCAGAACACGAGTCCCCCGCACGCCGGGCTCACACGCTGGCGGGACTGTTGGCTCCGAGGCCGGTGGATGGGAGATGGAAGCCAGCCTTCCCCAGGGGAAGCAGAGACATCTCTGGGCGGCTTCCAGAGCAACCTGGGCCATGCTGCAGGCACGGAACCAAGCTGGCATTCCGGCCATTACATCTGGGCCAAGAAGGTCGGGGTCACCTTCATCCGCCCCTCCCCAGCCCCCTTGGGTCCTCTGAGCCGCGTTCTTCACCCCCCAGGAGCCTGGCTGCTTTCCGTGCCGAGGGTCCAGGAGCTCTGCTTCTGTGGCCTACTGATCAGCCCACCCCTGTCAGCCAGGCTCTGTTCAGCCACAGATCAGACCGTCAGGCCCTGGGAACACTTGCAAAGAGGAACCCGTGCATGTGCAAACTTTAAAAGACAACACACGTCTCCACTGCGCGTGACCCACTTGGAATTTTAAATGTCATCTCTGAAAATATAGAAAGGCACTGTTGATAACTATAATTTGGAGAAAAGAAAAGAAAGGAAAAAAAAGAAACCAAAGCAAATCACATGTCTGTTTCTTATAAAACATTTTGTTGACCCACGGATCATTGCACAGGTGAGGACCGTGGCCCAGGCCTCCAGCTCACGCGGCAGCTCCGGGAGTCCACAGCTGCCCTTGCCACCTCAGTCCATGTGAAGCCTCACAGCTTGGCCTTCAGACGAGAAGCCCCACGCCAGGCGGCACGGCCCCGGCTGTCACTGGAGCTTGGGCGGCGTCCTCCCAGCGCAGCCGCACCTTGGACTCACGCTCTGCCGTGTTTGCCTCCTGCATGAAAAGCAGCTCTGACTGGGCTTAACACAAACGGGTTTGTGTCTGTGACGAAAAGCCGCAGACGGGAGGCTAAAGTCTCCTTCTGGCCCTGGGGACGGAGGCAGCGGGACAGGACGCGGCTCGCAGGCACCACACATCAGGGCACACACTTTCCCGGCTGCCATCTGCGCCTCTGTCCACCATGGCTCCACCCCCCGCCCCCACCCCTGCAGCTGAGCAGGAGTCTGAACCCTGCAGGAAGGTGCGAGGCGGCCACAGCAGCCCCAGGAAGGCCATGGGGGGACGTGTGAGGGCCCGGGCAGACCACCCCAGGATATTCAGCACACAGATGAGAACGAAGTCCTGGTTCCAGGCAACTCACGGAGGAAACGCTCCTGTTAGACTCGGAGAGGGCTGGACACGGAGTGGACCCCACTCTCTGGGCTTCTCTCACGGATCTGGGTTTGCAACAGCAGCTCGTGGGAACTGTGTAGAGTGTTCATGTTTATTTTAGACCCTGGGTCAACGTCATGGAGGAAAAACCATTGACTCTCGTGGAAGAATCCTGGGGACAAGAATCTCAGGCGTCACTCGCGCCCTGTTAAACCTTCAGTTCTTCTACCCACATGGGGTATTCCCCACCTCCCAGCAGCAGAGAACTCACTGGACAACCTGATGTCGGGATGTGGCCGGGAAAACGTGCTTTTCTGTGACTTTGGAGCTGTTTGCAAGTGGCAGGAGGCTGGCGCCTACTAAACCAGCAAACGTGGGACAACCGGCCCGGCACTGCCCGAGCCACGTGAGGGCCCCCATGCATCGCCTCCCAATGGCGAGTGCTCCAGCAGCCAGAACACCAAGGAGGGGTGTGGGAGAGCGTCCACAGCTGGCCGGGCTGTCCCAGGGCTCTCTGGGGAAGCAGCAGCCCCAGCTGGAGCGCGGACCGGACACTCACCCCACAGCTGTCGCAGGAGGCAACTGACGCTTCAGGCTCTGGGGCACTCAGGAGAATCCGGACAGAGGCCCGCCCAGTTCACCTCTTTACAGAGCGGCTGAGTGAGGGTGGGGCTCTCCTGGGCCCTGACCCTCCCGAAAACCCTCAGGGGCGTCTGTCCAGGGTAGGCCTCAGAGCCAAGCCTGAACTTGGCGCTCTGTCTCTGTGGGGTCCCGGTATCCAGGAAGACATGGGCAGATTCTAAACACTCCCCAGAAAGCAAAGTGTCTGCCGTCACTCCAGCTCTGCGGCCTCACACCGACACCCGCTCCTCTCCCAGGTGCCTTCGCCCTCGCACAGGTCCAGGCTCCTCCTCCCAGGATGCAGGGCCCTCCAGTGCCCACCTGGCTAGTGCTGCCTAAACCCTGGGACAGGGGCCCTATTTCGGACTTTTGATTGTCAGCCAGTCCCGTGGCTCCCCAGAGCGCCCTCTGTCCATGTGGACACTCTCTAGCCAGCCAGGGCCTCGTCTTGGCTGGACGGACAAGAAGTGTGGCCTCAGGAGGGAAGCAGGAGCTCTCAGGCCACTGGCTGCCTGCGTCCTGACACAGGTGACACTGCCTCCACCCATGGCCCTTCAGGCATAGGAGGGTCCCTCTCCACTTCCCGCCTCACTCAGCTGGGGCCATCCCAGAGGCCCAGCCGGCTGCCTCCTCCTGCCCCGATGCCCAGGGCAGCACCCACGACGTGGTCAGAGCTGCCGGAGCCTGGCACAGGTGTAGCAATCACCAGGGGTCTGGGGAGAGGCCAGGCGGCTGCAGCCCTCACCCCTGCTGGCACCCACCCACAGGGTTGTTACAGGAACATGGCAGCCACTCCGAGGGGCACACTCGCCTGCCTGACCTTCACAACTAAACACCACACACTGGGGCCCTGAGGCAGACGTGTTTCCCACAGTCTGGAGGCTGGGAGCCTGAGACAGAGCCGAGTGCAGGCTGGTGCCCCAAGGCCCCTGTCCCGGGCCTGTACACGTGTGTTTCTGGACTCTGGTGCCCCGAGGCCCCCTCCCCGGCCTGCACACGCCTCTGTGATTCCCTAGTGAGCTCACCTCGCTCACCTGATGAAGGAAAGATGAAACCCCATCAGCTCCAAGCCTTTCCAGCCGGGGCGATTTTCCCCCAGTCTACTCTACCCCAGAGAACACACATTCCCCTTTGAACTCTGACCCTGAACCCTCTTCTTGGGCAGTGAAGCAGGTGGAGTTGGTGCCCAACGGCCTCCACTCTTTCTGCATCTCACAGAAGCTCCTACAGGATCCTCCCGGGAGATGTTGACAAGCAGGGTTTCAATGAGTGTGGGGCTCCCGGTGCGGCTGGGGGCCATCCCATGGGTTTCCCTGCCTCTCTTAAGGCCCATCCAGACCCCACCCAGCCACCCCCAGGCCACGGGAAGAGAGGAGGCTGGAGGCAGGCATCAGTCGGCCGAAACACCGTCTCAGGACCTGGCCTCAGAGCCACACAAGCATGCCTTTGGCCAGCAGAGCCGCTGGAAAGCGAGGACAGACGTCGCTTGGTGGCCACATGAGGCCCCTCCCGTGCACTCCCTGAGAATCCACAGATGCAGCCTGACCGTCCTGCCCCAGGCAGCCCCTTTCCCTGAGACCCCACACGAAAATGCCTGGAGCGGCTGCAGGGGAAGCCAAGCCCCAAGGGGATGCCCAGGGTACAGCGCCACCCACAGACCCCTCCAGGTCAGTCACGCACGTCTGCTTTGCTTTCTCCTCAGGATCTGAAGACAGTGCTCTCCCTGCCCCGCTACCCAGGGGAGTTCCTGCACCCCGTGGTGTACGCGTGCACGGCGGTCATGCTGCTCTGCCTCCTGGCCTCCGTCATCACCTACATCGTGCACCAGAGGTGAGCCTGGCATGGGCAAGGGCGCCCACTGTGCCCGAGAAACCTGTTCTTACCTTCAAAGGCAAGTCCCTGAAGGGCAATGTCGCTGCCCCCTCATGTAGCAAGAAGTCCCTGAAGGTACAACTCAGGTCTCCAGCCAGCTCAGACTTGCTCGGCAGCCTGGTGCCCACCACACAGCCGAAGGGTGGCTGGAGCTCGGGGGAGTCACGCCCGTCCACTCAGGCCTCCGTCAGGGTCTTCTTGACGGCATCCCTTGTGTCCTTAACTGGGTGAAATAAGTTCTTCCAGAAGTGGGTGCAGCCCTGAGGAGCTCAGGTCCCCCTGGGTGGTCACTATGGCCGGCAGAGCCTGGGAGAGGCACCGAGAATATGAGGGGGTCCAGCCTCAGTCAGGGTGGGCATGTCCACAGCCAGCCATGGGCGGGGGTTCAGGTACGTCTGAGGCTAAGGTCACCTTGGTCACGGACAGAGCTTGGATGCGCCCAGGGCCACAGTCTCATCGGAGACTTGGGCGCACACAAGGCTGTGATCACAGGAAGAGGCTTGGGCAGGTCCGAAACTATCATCTCTGCTGTGGCAGAACTGGGCGCCTTGATGGGTCATCAACGGTAGAAACTGACTTCTCAGTTCTGGAGGCCAAGGTCCCAGATCAAGGCACCCGTGATGCTGTGTTTGGAGGATCTGGAAAGGGCCGGCTCCAGGCTCACGGACGGCACCCACTGCCTGTGTCCCTGCCTGTGTCCCTGCCTGTGTCCCTGCCTGTGGGGGGTGAAGCACTCTCGGGGCCTCTTTCTCAAGGTCCTTGATCCCATCACAATGGCTCTGCCCAGAGGCCCCCGCTTCCGAATACCATCAGCTTGGTGGTTAGTGCTGTCCTACCAACTGTCGGATGGGATAAAATACATTTAGACCAGAGTGGCTGTGATTACAGGGAAAGGCTGAGGCGAGGCCATGGCTAGAGTCACAGTGGCCGCCGTGCAGCCGTACCTGTGCTGGCCACAGCCTGGATGAGTCGGGCCCCAGACATGGTGGTGGTCATGGAGAGGGTCACAGCCACAGGCGGGCACGGCGGGCTCAGCCCCAGGCTCTGGCCGGGGTCATGCTGAGCCAGTCTAATCACAGTCTCGTCCTGATGTGCCTGACGCCTGCTCCGAGGGATGCCCGCGGCCTCTGTCTCTGAGACAGTGTGTGGCCAAGTCGTGGAGTCTCAGGGCCTCAGTGTCTTCATCCACCAAGAGATCAGGTTGTTCAAGCTTCTGCAAACCCCTTTCAGCCTCAGTGTGCCAAGGTGACATAAGGCAGAACTTTCCAGTGGCCACCACTCAGGGCAGACTCGGACGGCCTGTCTGCTCTCCCCTGATGGGGTTCTCAGATGGCTGCCCCTGACCCCACGGAGAGCCCACCAGACTTCCTGGGGACAGAGCCTACGTCCCAGGGGGCCCTTCCAAACCTCCCTGTGCAGGGCCGCTGCTAACATGAAACCTCCTTCCTGCCCCACAGCGCCATCCGCATCAGTCGCCGGGGCCGGCACACGCTCCTGAACTTCTGCTTCCACGCGGCCCTGACCTTCACGGTGTTTGCCGGCGGCATCAACCGCACCAAGTACCCCATCCTGTGCCAGGCGGTGAGTGCCGGGGCGCCTTCGCTGGCTCCTACCAGAGGGGAAGTGTGGAGCGTTGTCTTGTTTACTGAATAATGTTCCGGCCTTGGCTCAGCTATTTCCCAGGAAGGGGTTGGGCCCCGGTGCGTCGGCGTCTCGGCTTCACGCCATGCAAGGCCCGTGTGCCCCACGTTTGACCCCAGGGTTGAGTCCACCACGCGGCCCCCTCCAGGCCTGCCCTAACCTGACATTTACCGTCCCCAAAGGGCGCACTCCCTGGGAGCAGGGACATAGCCTGCCCCTCCCGGAGAAAGTGGTGGGGGCAGCTCGAGGAGGGATACATGCTACGGTCAAGGGAGGAACCTGCAGGTGCCGCTGCCTGAGTCCCCAGAAGGGCAAGCGCGTCCTCTACACAGACCCCTGGAAGCCAAACAGAAACGTCACTCGGGGCCGGGCGCGGTGGCTCAAGCCTGCAATCCCAGCACTTTGGGAGGCCGATGCAGGTGGATCACGAGGTCAGGAGATCGAGACTATCCTGGCTAACATGGTGAAACCCCGTCTCTACTAAAAGTACAAAAAACTAGCCAGGTGCGGTGGCGGCACCTATAGTCCCAGCTACTTGGGAGGCTGAGGCGGGAGAATGGCGTGAGCCCGGGAGGCGGAGCTTGCAGTGAGCTGAGATCGCGCCACTGCACTCCAGCCTGGGAGATACAGCGAGACTCCATCTCAAAAAAAAAAAAAAAAGAAACGTCACTCGGGAAACCCTCCTCCCCCATCGCAGGGAGAGCTGGAGACTTGAAGCACACAGGAGGGCTCCTCACCTCCAGGGGCCCAGCCTGACCTTGGTTTAAAAGGGGGGACGTGTACCTCACACTCAGTTCCTGGCAGAGCTCATTGTAGAGACCCTCACATCAACACTAAGCCCCATCCTCATCCACTTTGGGCTGTGGCTCATGGCCAAGGAGAGGACCTGCCTGGAGCCTCTGTAGCCACAGCTCTGGGGCGGCTCCTCCCTGCGCACCCAGCCCAGTCCCGGTGGCCGCCCCACTTCAGCAGCCACACAGCCCCGTACAGTCACCTCCAGGGCCCGGACACAGCCAGGGGGTTGCCATGGACGGCAGGGCAACTTGCCAGGGATCTGCCCTGTGGTTTCTAGGACCCTCCTGTAGTACCTGGCACTGACGTGCACCTGCAGACAGCAGTGGTCGAGACTCCCACAGGGGCTGCTCCACAGGGGTGTCTGGGGAGAATCCGGACTGAGTGCACAGAATGCCCCCCAACTCCCCCCAGGCTCCCGTACCTGCCTGCAGCAGCCACGGGCTTCCTTCCTTCCCAGCACCACACTTCCATGTGCCAGGCCGGGACGGGCTGGGCAGGCGCTCACACAAACACAGGGCCCTGGCGTCCGGCACGCAGAGGAGACGCCCTGTCTGTGTGACCGCACATCATGCCAGCCTGCCCTGAGGCCGAGCCCAGCATGGTCCCGGGCGGAGGAGTCGCTGGCACGCACCTGAAGGTGGCTAAGGTCGGACGCACGTCCTGCCTCCTTAATCGTTCCTCTGATACGCTGGAAACAACCACAGCAAGTGCCTGGGAAACGCCACTGATGTCCCGCCTGTAAGTGCCTGCGAGAGGCCATCACCGTCACGTCTGCACTTCGCCACCAAGCACGCCACACACTGGGACAGAGCCTGCTGGATCCACAGGTGGCCCCCCACCACCACCAGCCAAGGGCCCTTGGCAAACCCTGCCCACGCCTTCGGGAGCACCTGCCACCGCCTGCCTGGATGGAGCTCCCGGGGCCCGGGCCTGTGGCGACAGCTTGGGGCGGATGCTGGGGTGTTGGGGCTGCGGCGGGCAGGTCTGGAAGGTTCTGGAGGGTTGCAGTCTTGGTGGATATCTTGTTAAGGCTGCAGTCCTCAGGAGGAAATCAGCGGAAAAGACTGTGGCCTGTCTCCAGATGCCATCCTGATCTCCCAGGGAGCACGGTCCACTCACTCGCTCACTCAGCAAACGTGCTGAGGGCCTATGAGGTGCCAGGCCATGCTCTGGGCACTAGGGCACTGCCAGAGACAAGCCCACATGGCTCACTGTGGAGCCGCATTCCAGGACAGGAAGCAAGTGTGGAAGACGAACCGTGGGAGCCGCCGGGGGTGGGAGATGCCTGCCGGATGCGTGACGCCAGGCTGGGGAAGCGGAGGCAGGGGCCGCAGTGGCTGCAGCCCCAGAACCACTCGGGAAGCTCACAAGGCAACGTTCTCCGAGCCCCCGATGCACTGTCTTCCCCTGTGCTCTGCCACATGAACAGAAGCTTTCTCACTGATCTAACAATGAGGCCAGGCCGGTTCCACATTCGCAGCCTCTGGGTAAGGAGGAAAATTCAGCCACCACCGGCTGGAGGAAGAAGACCTGAGGGTCTAGTAAAAACTAGACTTGGAGCCCGACCTGCCCACACGTGCGCCAGTGGTGCCCGGTCCGCCTGCCCCCCTGCCTGCCTCACGCTTGTCACACTCACCTTCCTGCCCGCCTGCCCCGCCCACCAGGGCCACAGCCCAGCACTGAGTGAAGCCTGGTCCCAGGCTCTGGATGGCTGGAGAGGACGGACGGTTGCTATGGCGACAGAGAGATGGCCACAAGCCCGTTCGCAGGCTGAGTGACATCGTCAACAGAGACAGGCGCTGGCCCTGGGTCTGGCGGGGTGGGCCGGCCGTGGAGCACTGTGGGACGCCGATGGCTTCCCTGCAGCCTCCCCACCTGTCCAGCCTGAAGTCAGTGTCTGGACTCCAAGCTCTGCCGCTTAAACCTTCTCGTGCTCCCCAAATGCACACGGCCTGGGTGAGGCTCAGCCCAGACAGACAAGGGGCAGGGCCGGCTCTGCCATCCTCCTCAGCGCCCCAGGCAGTGACAATGACAGCCCCGCGGCTGCTTCCTTGAAAGAAAGAACCCGAGGCCCAGCTGCGGGGCCTCTGCCCCGCTCCTCCACATGGTGCCCCGGTTTCCAGGCCTCCCTGTCTCCACCAGGCTGCACGAGGCCTGGGCACGGGGATGGGACTCGCCAGGCCAGGAGAAAGGGTGGAGCCCCCGGGGCCTGCTGTGTCTCCTGCCGCCAGCGGCACGCAGGGAGCTCATCTGAAACTGCAAACGAGGCCGTCCGGTCTTTCCAGCCCACCCCACAGCATTCTCATCAATTATTGCAGAGCCTCCTCAGAAGTGAAAATGGAGCTCTGGATTTGATAAATCATCATAATGGTGCGACGTTAGCTTTATGCGGCGAATCTCTATATTCCTTAAACATTTATGTCCTTTCCAATTATAGCAGTATTTTACCTGTCATTTCAAAATGTCAGGTTATTACTCCAAAGGTAGCAGTGTGGCCCTGGTAATCAACTAACGCAGGAAGTCTCCATAGCAATGAGGAACGGCGACCTGCAGGGTCACACGAATGCATCCCCATGGGGGGCTCATCCTATTCACAGTAAGAGCATCCTGGCATGACCCCCTGGAGGACTTCACCTCCTCTCCCTTGGTGGACACCTGTCCAGGTCTGAGCTCAGGGGACGTTGGTCTGCAGCTCACAGGGTCCCGTGCCTGGGCCACAGGGACCACAGTGGGTTGTGCATGCAGGGGCGTGTGAGTGCACAGAACCATTGGTCCCCACAGACTCCCTGCTCCCGTCTCTGTGCGGAAGGGGAGCAAAGTCAAGCCGTTCAAGGGTCTCTGCAGCTCGGCGTCTCCCTGTGACTCCCGGGCAGCTGTGGGGTGGCCGCCGTCTGCCCTGGGATACAGACGCTCCTGGCTGCCTGCTGCTCTCATTCTTGAAGCCACAAGCCTGGGCCGGGGCTGCTGGGCTTTGGGGGGTGGGTGCCCACCGAGGGCCTGGCTGACCGCTGCTCCCCCACAGGTGGGCATCGTGCTGCACTATTCCACGCTGTCCACCATGCTGTGGATAGGAGTGACCGCCAGGAACATCTACAAGCAGGTGACCAAGAAGGCCCCTCTGTGCCTGGACGCAGACCAGCCGCCGTACCCCAGGCAGCCCCTGCTCAGGTACTGAGTGCACATGGGCGCGAGGCCCTGCCACCTGGGCCCTGGACACTGCATGCGCCTTCTGGGCTCGCCTTCTGGGTCTTGGCAAACCTCCTCGCCAGGCCACCAAGGCCTGAGGACGATCCAGTCCGTGGGGGAGGGTCAGTGTTCCCAGGGTGCGTAGAGAGCAGGCGAAGGAGCTGGGGGTGGGGCAGTGTGCTGGAGGGGAGGGGCGACGGTCCCCGGGGGTGAGGCGGAGGGGGCCCAGAGGGTGGAGGGTCCCGGGTGGGGTCTGAGGCAGGCGGTGCCCTGCCCTCCACATCTGCGGCTGGAGCCCAGCTGGTCTGGGGCTGGCATGTGCTGGGGCTGGATGAGCCTCCTGTGCTGCAGAATTGCTGGCACGAGACCCTCTGTGCCCCGCAGGGCAGCCACGCCGGGGAAATGGGCTCTGGGTGGTTTTGGCTTCGGCTTCATGGTCTCCGTAACATCAGGCAGCTGACTGTTGGTGGGGGAAAACCTCACATGCTTAGGCACTCATTTCAAGGTGGCCCTGGCCTGGGCCTTTCGGACCAGGAGGCAGGTGTGGTCCCCCAGTTCCCAGCACCTCCCCATCTCTGCTGTGTGAGGCCCGGGTGCTGGGATGGGACACTCGCCCCCACCCGCAGCCTACACCAGCTCTTGGTCCCCATCCATCCCCAGGCCGGGAATTCACCGTGGCCTTGGTGGGAACCATGGGCCTGCCTGGGGGTGGAAACAGCCCATGATGGCATGGGCGCAGACTTCCCTCTCTCCCTCTCTCCCTCCCTCCCTCAGTCCAGAGCCAGGGAAACCCGGGCGTCCACATCTGGGCGGTGGCAGAAGCTCCTCTGCACCAGCAGGAAAAAGCCGGGTCAGGGAGCCCGGACAGCTGCTTTAGACAGGGGTCTGGCCGCAGCCGTGACCGGGCCGCGGGGCTCGCCAGGGAGTTCCAGCGCCTTTGGTGTTTCCTTTTCTGAACTGAGACTGAATTCCAAACGCTCAGTCGGCAACAGCCAGGCTCAGAGTGTGGCCTCGAGGCCTTGGGTGCCTACCTGGCCCATCCTCTGGGGTTCCCTGAGGCTCCCTGAAAGCCTGCCTTGGGCACCTTCAGTTTGCCCAGAGCAGCGCCCTGTGTGAGGCACCCCTGCCAGAGGCTGCTCTGAGGCCGGCGGTCCCCGGGGGTCGTGGAGGACATTCGTCCAGTTGCATGTGAGATGCGGTTCCTGCTGGTGCAGGGACACCTGCTTCCTCGGAAGGGCTGTCTGGCACTGTCCCGTCCAAAACCGTCTGAAGAATTCATTTCAAGGCAGATACAGCCACGTCCTGTGTTGTCTCGGTAAACAGGGCTCACCTTCCACCCGGAGCATTTTCTGACGCTGTTTGATTTTCAGATCCACGCAGACACGTTGCCACTTAGCAACCAGGGCTGGGTGGTGCTTCTGCCGCTGGTGGGGGCTGGGGAGGTAGGGTTTCATTATCTTGCCTCTCCTGCCAGGGAGGCCCCAAGTCCCCTGGGTTTATAAATCACTCTCAAAATGCATTTCCTCATCTGTAATTGATGGAAGAGCTGCCTGGTTTTGAAGACCAGGCTGGCAGCCGTGGAGCACCCCGGCACTCTTCTGTCCGCCGTCTGCCAGTGCGTGCCACAGAGCCGTGCGTCTGTCCAGGTGCTGAGGGGCCAGCGGGCCCGGGGTTCGGCACTGACCGGCGGGCCCAGCGACGGCAAGGCCCTGCTTGCGGCCACGGCACTGAGGCGACTGCTATTCCTCCTGGGGCTGCCTGGAGACCCCCATCCTCCACCCCCTGCCCTCTGGGCCCCCTTCCTCTGTACAGAAAGGTCTTGACATTATGGCAGGGGGAGTCCACATGGTGCCGTGTTCCAGCTGTGTTCCTTGGTCACTGGCCTGCCTGGTCACTCTGTCTCCCCAGCCGCTCCCCAGGTGCCTGGTTAGGGCTCGGCCTGTGCACCCCTGAGGCAGGTGCAGACTCGGGAGTGGTGGGCGGTGTTAGCTTGGACTTCGCTGAGGGCCTGCCCTCTCCATGGCCGGGCCTGGGGCTGCTGGGAGACTGTGCTGGGAGACTGGGCGTCACCTCCTCAGGGAGACCAGCAGGCTGGAGCGGAGCCTTTCTCCCCACACCCCAGAGGGGCTCACGATCATCCCTGCAGGCCCTGGCCCAGAGCCTCTTCTCACCTCCCCCTCCTCCACCAGGAAACCTCCTCATCAGAGAGGCCCTTCCCAGCGGCCCTGCCTCCCCAGCCCCATTCCCTGGCCCACACATTATCACCGCCAACAGAAATTTGGTTCCTGAGTTCCAAGAATCTTGCATTCTGGGAGGGAAGGGTGTGGACACCTCTCCAGGCAGCATGTTGCCCACACCCTCTCTGGCTGTTCCCATCCTGCCCTCTGAAAAGAAGACCCACACCACTCCCTGCCTGACCCCCCGCCGGGACGGGGCGGCACCGCCAGCTGCCACTCACACGGACGGGGCCGAGTCTCAGCTGCTGCACATGAAGGAGCCGTGTGCGCCGCCCACCGCCGGCCCAGCTCTGCAAGTGTTAACGAGAAGTAACGAGAAAACGGCCGTCCCTGAGAAGCGGCTGTGTGAACTCAGAGGACGCTCCTGGAGCTGCCGACGTTTTGAGAAAGCCCTCGCCATCCTGAAGGCCCACAGCCAGGGTTTGCCACGTGCAGCGGCCGCCTCTGCTTGACTTCGTGGAAACCAAACCTTCAAAGTCCAGGGAAGGTACAGCCACGTCAAATGTTGCCGCACTGGTGTCCGTGAGCATTTCACACGCCTGAGGCCCTCTCTGTGTGAGCATGGGGGATGCTCCACCTCTGCGTGGGACCTCCCCTCTCCACAAGACAGCCTGGTCGGCAGAGGGGGCGGACACCCCCCAAGACCCCCAACTCTGCAGGGGTTGGACTCCGTGGGCAGGAACCTGCCCTCTGGTCAGGGTGAGGTCAAGGAGTGGAGGAGCCAGTCCAGGGAGGCCCAGCAGTGAGAAGCCAGAAGCTTCTGTGGCACAGCAGGGGCCCCATGGCCAAGGTCACAGCCACCGTCCACCCCTCCCCTCACGCAGGGGTGTGACCCTTGTTACTATGACAACACAAGCCTGGGCTCTGCACGGGATTCTGCCACTTTCTAGATGGGGATTCACCTGATCTCATCTCCCCTTGGTCCCAGGATGAGCTCCCCCCCACATGTGGGCCTGTGTGGAGAGATTTGGGGGCACCGTCTGCCACCCCAGTTAGGAGGCACTGCACAGTCAGGCCCTCAGAACCGCCCTGGGCCTGCGGAGGGGCAGTGGCCTGACAGGTGTGTGGTCTGAAGCCCACACCAGGGCGAGGGCGGCAGGACTGGAGCCCAAGGGGGGTGCCTTGGATTTGGGGGGCGCTGGAGCCCTTGCTGGCTGCAGCTTCCCTGCTTTGGTCCCAGGCCCATCGCTGCCCTCCATTCACACAGCGTTTTCTCCAAATTCCAGCAGCATCGCAGCCGGTGAGGCCCCTGCCGACTGAATGAGTCACACACAGGCCCCAGCTCCTAGGAACCTTTGGAGACCCTTTTCCAGGCCCGAGCTGCAGCCCTGCCTGGGCCCCTGCCCAGCAGCCCCACCAGGATGGGTCCCTCTGCTCTCCTCAGCTCCTGCCATGCCAGGATCTGGTCATCTGCATCCACCCACATGGATCCCTGTGGGCGTCCCCAGCACAGCAGCTCTGGGCCAAGGAGGGTGCACAGGGTGGGCACAGCCTGGCCTCAGGGCACAGGGAACTGAAGAGCCCCCAGGAAGGGCACCAGTCACCAGATGCTGGCTTCCCCACATTGGGGACACTGTGGCAGACACCCATCCCAGATCCTGTTGAGGTGAGGCCTGGGCGAGTGGATGGACGTCCCACAGAATGTGCAGCACGCGTCCTGGGGGAAGGCCGTCGAGGCCAAAGACACTCAGATAAAGTGCAGGTCATGTCTCTGCACACAGTCTCACCCCCGTGGCTCAGAGTGGCCATCACGGGCTCCTGGGCAGTGTTTATCGGGGCCACGCCCGCTCTGAGCGTCACTGGAGTCACAGCTGCATCTGAAGGCCGTGTTAAGAAGCACTACGCCTTCCAACCTGTGAGCACAGGACGCCTTTCCTTTTGTTTAACTCTGTAATTTCTTCCAGCAAAGCTTTGCGTTTCTAGTGCACACGTCTTGCGCCTCCTTGGCTGAATTTTCTCCCAAGGATTTTATTCTCTTGATGTTATTATAAATGGGATTCTTTTCTTAATTATCTTTTTGGATTGTTCATTTGCTTGTGAACAAAACACAACTGATTTCTGAGTGCCAACCTGGTGTCCTACAGCTTTGCTGAGTTCCTTTATTGGCTCTAGTTGGTGTTTTGTTAATTCTTTAGTATTTCCTGTGTATATAATTATCACGTCATCTGTACACAGGGATAGTTCTACTTCTTCCCTTACAGTCTGGAGGGCTTTATATTTTTTTCTCACCTAGTTGTGCTGGCTACAACTTCCAATACGAGTCTCTCTTTTTTTTACTTGTCAATCTAGCTAAAGGTTTGCCAATTTTCTTGATCTGTTTAAAGAGTCAGTTTGAGTTTCACTGATGGTCTTCATTTTTCTGTTGTCTATTTTATTTATCTCCACTCTGGTCTTTATTACTTTCTTTCTTCCATTAGCGCTGGATTTAGCTTGCTCTTCTCTTTTCAGGTTTCTTATGGTGTAAAATCAGATGGTTGACTTGAGCTCCTTTTTCTTATGTGGATGTTCATGGCTATGAATTTTCCTCTGTGTGCTACTTTTCCTGCATCCCTGAGTTATCTCATGGGGTATTTTGTTTCACTTATCTCCACAGTGTCACTTCTACTTTTCCTTGTGATTTCTTCTCTGGCCCACTGGTTGTTTAAAAGTATGCTGTTTAATTCTCACAGATGTCTAGATAGTCAGGGAAAAAAAACACCCTAAAATTGTGCTGCAACTGTTAGTGTCAAGCTGAATGAAGGGAAT